AAGAACTGACAGTCAGTCAATCCGGAAAATTGCTAAAACTTTGAATGTGTCCTCAAGTGCAGTCACAAAAACCATCCGGGGCTACGATTAAACTGTCTCACATGAGGACCGCCCCAGGAAAGGAAGACCAACAGTCACCTTTGCTGCTGAGGATGAATACATTTGAGTCACCAGCCTCAGAAGTTAACAGCACCTCAGATTAGAGAATAGAGAAATGTCACACAGGGTTCCAGTAGCAGACACATCTCTACACCAACTGTTCTGAGGAGACTGTGTGAATCAGGCCTTTATGGTCAAACTACTAAGGAAAAGCAACAAGCAGAAGAGATTTGTTTGGGCCAAGAAACACAAGGACTGGACATTAAACCAGTGGACATCTGTGCTTTAGTCTGACAAGTCCAAATTTGAAATCTCTGGTTCCACCTGCAGTGACTTTGTGCGACGCAGAAAAGGTGAACGGATGTTCTCTACATGCATGGTTGCCACAATGAAGAATGAGGTGTGATGTTGTCGGGGTGCTTTGCTTGTGACACTGTTGGGGAATTTTTCCCAATTGAAGGCACACTGAACCAGCATGGCTACCACAGCATCCTGCGGCGACATGCCATCCCATCTGGTTTGCGTTTACCATCATTTATTTTTCAACAGGACAATGACCCCAAACACATCTCCAGGCTGTGTAAGGGCAATTTGGCCAAGAAGGAGAGTGATGGAGTGCCTCCACAGTCACCTGACCAAAACCCAATGGAAATGGTTTGGGATGAGATGGACCTCAGAGTGAAGCCAAAAGGGCCAACAAGTGCTCAGCATCTCTGGGTACGCCTTCAAGATTGTATGGAGACTTATAGATTTTGTTTAAAAAAAGACAGAGTACTACAGGTGAATCACTGCAGAAACCATAAAAAGACCATCATCAAAGTAAACAGCATTCATTTCTTTCTCCCTTTTCTTTCGGGACAGTCAAGTCTGTCCCGTATTCAGCAAGTGAAAATAAAATAAACAATAAAAGGTGAATCAAATGGACCATTACGGCAAGGCTGGGATGGTCAATTTGGTAAAGTAAATCCGTTGGGTATCTTTCTTCGCCTTTAGACAATAATTCTGATGGCAAAAGAGCCAAACGGGACAGGCAAAAAAAAAAAAAAAAGTAAACAGCATTCATAGGAATCTACCGTAGCAGATTATTTTTTCATTACTTTTAAAAACTGACAGCACTGTGCTGATGATATTATGGCATTTCATCTGTCCTTCTGGCCAGGTCACTTTGGTTTCTCTTTGCGCTATGTCAAATACTTTGATGAAAGGTTTCTGATTATACTTTCAAATTCAAATTCAAATTCAAATTCAAATTTTATTTGTCACGTACACAGTCATACACAGTACGATATGTAGTGAAATGCTTGGACAACTGCTCGTGACCTAAAGAAAACAAAAAAGGAAAAGGCTATGACTAAGATAGGAAATAAATATGAAAAATTAAAAAGGGTAAATTTAACTAGGAAGGAATAGAATATAAATTAAGGTTAAAAATTTATAATTTGTGCCGTTAATAGCATTTCATTACATATCCCAGATTAAAAACAACTAATTGGTTTTTCCCTCAACTTATTTTACAAACTAATGAGTATTCATCTGGACTAATTCTCTCTGCTTGACTTCTGCCCCTTCTCCTTCCTCTTCCAATGTTTGATCCTTCTCTGGTGTTGCCATTAAACTGGACCAAACTTTCGGTCTCCATCTGTCCATCTGAAGCTTCCCAGACAAAACTCTCATGGCATATACTTGTAACTGAATTACCTTTTTTTTTCTGTTCACGTGTGAAAATGAATGTGATGATGTGCGAAACTGCTGCTAAAACGGCTTTAAGTGATAAATTTATTCTGAAATCTATTCATATCTGTCTTCTCTGATTTTCAAGAACATTTTCCTGCATAAGTTATTAGTCTGGCATCTTCCAAGCCAACCCTAAATGTATATTTCCACACCACAGGTTGACCAAATTGGGAAAACTCCAAAACACTTGAACATATTTTGCTAATGAACTGCTTTTAGCACATTAAAAGCAAAAGTACACACCTAAGTATTTTGCATTGCTGCACAATAAAGGAATACCAAAATGTGCAAAACAATTACAGCAACCTACTCCCTTTGTCTTCTTTACTTTGCTCCTCTTTTTTCACTTATACATCAGACTTGAACTATGATGACCAATGACTGACATCAGTTTGTGATGACCAATCTGTGAGTGTGGGTTTTATGTGTAATTACAGAAGAAAGTTTGAGCGGAGTATTCACCTGGTGCCATTCGATTAGGCTACAAAAGAAGTTCATTTACAACTTCCCTCTCATGCAGAAATAACTGGGCCTGTCAGGATGTAGAGATCAAACATATCTCATTTTGTCACGCTGATTTTAAATGTCAAAGATTAGAGCATTTGCGCATATCTGTAATACATGTGCATATAAATAATCTCACTAACAATGTACAGAGCTAAAGGCCAACTATATATGCTTGAACAAACCTGTCACTTAAAAATGACTATGGAATGAGAAATTCATACATTTGCACTGGCAAATTAGCAAGAAATTACCTTTTTTTTATCATCATAAGAAGGAAATATTTGTACAGCAACTCTCTCAGTGCTAATGCACAATACTGTTTGTGAACTCATTGGCATAACAATTTGATTTAAAAGTTGGATTTAAGCACATTTAGGGCAGTGATTATAATGCATTTCCTCCAAATTGTACTTTTTGAAGCATGCAAATGTATTTTTAGGTGTTAGTGTCTCTGTAGCAAATAAAAATGTTATGTAAGGATATTATCTCTCTTCTCTTAGCAGAGGTAATGGACAATACTCCATCATCCATGACTTTTCTCTTTCTCTCTCTCTCTCTCTCCCTCTCTCTCTCTCTCTCCCTCTCTCTCTCTCTCTCCCTCTCTCTACACATATACATATATATATATATATATAATATAATATATATATATATATATATATATATATAAATCTGATCATTTGTCAGCATCGAATACTTAAAATGTTTAATTAATTTAATGGCTAAATCCAAGAAGTTCAGTCAGTCATCCCCCAGTTTAGTCCAGACTGATATATCCACTTCAGTACTGATTCTCTGACATTTTAATTTGTTTGGTTATTACTAAACACCTGAGAAGCATGACATTTCCATCTGCCTCAGGTCTGTATTCAGTGCTATTCAACAAAAATAAATTCAGTTAATTCAGCTTGCATGCAACTGATGCAGCAGAGCTGATCACTCTACTTTCTTTTATTGTTAATGTCATCAGACAATGCGATATATCAACAGTGTTTCATGTGTACTATATTTTTACAGTTTAAAGCTTTGCCAACTTTCTTTCATCCTTCATTCTCATACTCTCATGCCAAATATGAGGAAACCCAGTATTTTATGAGGAAAAAATTGATTGATTAAGTTGGCTTTTTTTTAGTCTGATCAGATTTGTTCCATGTTTCACCAACAACAACAGTCCTAGACACCAGAGCACAGAAACTACAGTTTATGGCCATGAGTTGCTGGAGGTGTGCAGACCTGTTGGAGGCTGCAACAAGTTCAAAGGGGATTATTCAGTGCAGGTAGCCTAAAGAACAAACTTCCACATATTTTTGTGTAGTTTAAATACCTGCAGCCTCATAAGATCAAAGGTCACTTTTAGTAAATCTGATCCATTTGCTTTTTTTTTTGTGTTTGGTTAAAAAAAGTAACTAATTGTAATTGTATATTGTAATAGCTGATAGTCACTTATGAATTACTTATGAAGATTTAGGCTGTTATTGTTTTGCAGGACTGCATATGACCCTAAGTGCACAGTGGGATGTCTAGACTATTAAAGGAGCCAGTTTGTACAAGAGAATAATCCCAGTACGGCAATATCAGATCATGTGTCGGTGACAAAGAATATTCTACATAAAAGTCCATGTAAAGTGCCCCCCTGCCACACACACACACACACACACACACACACACACACACACACACACACACACACTTTTTTTTCGTAATGCCTGCTATTCAAATTTTAAGAATTTGAAAAGTGTGTGCATTGGGGCTTTTTTTTTTTTACATATGTATAAAACACAAGACATGAAAAGTGTGTGCATTGGGGCTTTTTTTTTTACATATGTATAAAACACAAGACAAATTTATGAGTATTATTAATTATTTTAATATTATTATTATTTGCCTGTTGTGGTTATCCAGAGCAACGAAACTAGTTTTGACTCAATAGCAGCCTTTTGTTTAAGAAACAGTCACAGGTATCCATTTAAATTCTGCAGATATGTCTGTGTGTTGATGCATCCTTCACCATAAAGGATAACCTTTGCCTGGGTGAGCACAAACCTCCCCAGATCAACAAAATCCCTCCCTGTTTGCTCTTGTAAGGTAAAAATTCATTTTCTCAACAAGCACCTAAGCTCACCTTCTCCCACTGAACTGCATGCTGGGCACTGAGTCATATAACCTCTTTCACCACTGCTTCTGTTAGTCACTTTACTTTGCATCATAAATCTGCCTTCTTCTTTTTATTGTTTGTAGTTTCTTGAGCATAGCAGTGCTCTCTCTCATTGGCAAAGGAATAATGTGTAGCCACTATTGGAACTGACCACTGCAGTCCCTTTATTGGTTGCCTGCAATGCTAATGAGGCACGAATGAAGCTTATTAACGTCACTCTACATGTCAGCGATAGCTAAATGTTACTGTTATTGTTCAAATAGAATTAAACAGCCTTGCAATAAATTCAACTGAAAACAGAAGTGCTAGAATTGGAGATAATTAAGTCATCATGCGCTAATATCATTAGAACATTTAATGTGAACATTTTTGTCGGACTTACCAGCTTAATTATTTTCAGCCAAGCATTAATAGTTTTTGACACGTAGCAAAAGCTACTTTTTGTATCTTCACAGCCCCATTAAGCTGTGCTTAATCTAAGCAAAAACTGAGAAGTAGAACTAACTTGGACAGGGCGCGTTGCAAGTGATCTTCTGTACGGACATGCCCTCGCAGAAGGTCCCGCCATTCAGTGGTGCCGGGTTCGTGCAGGTCCGAGATCGCTTCTGGACACCCCGCCCACATGGCGCATTACAGGCCGACCACTCCGTCCACAGGGACCAGCCGCCATTCACTGGAGAGAGTCCAGCAAAGTTAAGAAAAGAAAAAGAAGTAGAGTGAGGGCACGGCAATGAATAATACTTTTTACTGAACTCTGGCATAGTTAAACACTCTAACAAGAGCTGCTGGGGTTATTAATGATTATGCAGGCTCAGAGGCAGTGCAAGGCAACAATGTATAACGGTAGGAGCAGATTGAGCACAGCGCAATACGCTGGATATACAGCTCCCTGTTTCGTAATTGCTCAGTTCAGTGTTTCTTGCACTTGGATTAAGATAAAGACAAGGAACTATGCGAAAGCAAAGAAAGCAGCCATTAAACGGAAACGCCGTTTCTAAAGGCGACACTGACTCATACTGGTTGACGGGTTTGGAGTCGACCGCTTAGCGTTGTGACTGAAGCACTTTATGATCTCTCTGTCTTTCTCTCTCTCTGCTCAGCAGTGCTATCAAAGCTGGCGAACCCACGTTTCTGGAAGGCCTCTGGCAAATAAATACTTAATAAGCAACACTCCTTTTAAATGAGATTAAGACACACTGGCTTATTTCCTTTCATAAAGTACACATTGATTTTAAATGAGAGGCAGTAAATTGAGTGTTTGAATAATACATTCATCTGAATAAAGAGGAAACATTGCTCTTCAGTGGGAACACAGAGACGGGTCTCTTAATCACTTGTGTATAGGGGCACAGGAAGCCGAACAAATTGATCTGAAGTGCCATGTAAACATTGTGTCACTACTCTGTAATGTGTTGTAGCAGGCAATAAGCAGCTGCTACGATGGCGTACCAAAGACTATCACAGTTGCCGTGGCGCTACGTCTCTTTGCCACAACGTTGCTGGCCAGACAGGTGTAGTTGCCTGAGTCGGACAGGCGCGCTTCGTTGATGATGAGGTTGTGGTCGGCTCGGGTGTCGATTTTGTCATCCGTCAGGGAACTCACCAGCTCTTCATTTTTCAGCCACTCCACCTGTCAAAGAGTGGTAATATAGTACTCATATGAGGAGTGTTTGCAGCAAATATCACTAACATCATAGTTAAGTACAACACACTAGAGCAATTCCACTTAACACCATGTTAAATGGGCAGACAAATGGACCCAAGATTTAAAGCAATCCAATAACACAGGAAATAATGACTGATAGCTACGTTGACATGTATTCAAAATAAAGTTTATTTTCTGACAAACAGAAGAGCTTTGGATAGGGTATAGGGGTTAGGGTTGGTTTAATCAAATGGCTATCTTGATTTACCTATTTGAGGCTATAAAAAGAAGCCAAAGATGGAAGAGCCAAAAAATGCAGTTCCTCTCTTTGCCATTTATGGTTAGGTTAAAAAGCAAATCAATCCCCATACACTCTCATGGTAAAGTGCCAAACTTTAGCCTTAAAAACATGTTAACTGCCTTTTATAAACAAGGTCTTTGACCTCTATGGGTAGTTTCCCCTTTCATCAGAGCTTTACGGTGGGGGGATTTAAATACTGCTTGGGATTAAAGTTAATGGACAGGTTTGCTAACACAGGCTGCTCCAATCGGGTGCTAGGCCTTAGTTCTGTGTTACTAAACTAGACTATGTTTGTGCTGTTGGTACCTTCTAGAGCATTTTAATATGTGGGGTACAGCCCACCCAAGACGTTTATTCTTGAGTTTTGGTGATAGAGATTTTAGCACTTTATCAGTCTGTAGCTTTGTACTACTTAGCAGCTATGCTAACCAGGTTTGCTACCTTTTCCTGATGACTTGGTAGTCCACCCTCTGATCAAAAAACAAACAGAAAAAAACAAAACAAACAAGCAAAATGCTGCGGCTTAAAAGTTGAGAAACTAATGGAATAGCTTAGGCTGTAGGTTAGATCTTTTTGACCAGGATATGTGGTTGAATGCACATGTTAAACAAATATGTAGGACTCCTTTCTTGCATTTGTGCAATATCCCTAAAGCTAGAAAAATCCTGCTCAGAGTGATGCTGAAAAACTAGTTCATACATTAATTACTTGTAGGCTGGACTACTGTAATTCATTATAATCAAGTTGTCCTAAAACCTCCATTAAAAGTCTTCAGTTGAGCCAAAATACTGCAGCAAGAATGCTGGCAGGGACTAGAAAAAGAAAGGGTAATTCTCCTATATTAGCTTCCCTTCATTGGCTTCATGTTATATCAACAATTAAATTTAAAATTCTTCTCCTTACAACAAGGAATAATCAGACCTCATAGTACCGTGTCACCCCAGTAGAGTACTTAGCTCTCAGACTGCAGCCTTACTTGTGGTTTCTAGAGTATTTAATAGTAGAATAGGAGGCAGAGCTTTCAGGCCCCTTTTCTGTGGAACCAGCTCCCAGATTGGATTCAGACACCATCTCTACTTTTAAGATTAGGCTTAAAACTTTTGTTTTTGAATCCTCCCTTAGCTAAGCTGCTATAGACCTTCCCATGATTCACTGAGTGTTTTTTCTTCACACACCTCTTTTCACTCTCTGAGCTAACACATCACTCTGTGTTTTCTTCCTACTGTTGCCAAGTAATTGGTCACTTTACCTTTCAATACAAAGTGCCTTGAGGTTTACTGTTGTTGTGATTTGACAATATATAAATGAAAACGAATTGAATAGAATTAGATTTGGGTTAAAATAGACATTTTCACAGTGTTAACCACATGCAAACCTCCGTTTTCCATTTAACTAAATTGTCTTGTGGCGACTCAAATTTTACATACTTTACTATAAACATACTACATTTATACAAGTCCTTTATTACATTTATTAAAGGACCCCTATTATGCTTTGCTTCTCTATTCCTGGCTCTTCATGCTGTCAGTGACTGAAGACATCCACAGAACACACAGAAGCCCTGCTATTCATATCCTTTTCTTGCAAGGGGCAGCCTGTCAGAAGAAAGTTGGTTTAAAGGGCAGAAATGCTAAAACAATGGGTCTAAGACAGATAAATAAGATTAATAGACTGCACACTTTCTGTCTTGAGCACTGGCTCGACATGGTGAAGCAACACTTTGTTTGTTTCGAGCATACTGAACCCTCAACGTGCAAATCTTAGTAGCAGATCCTGTATCTGGATTCAGCACCCCTAAAAAAGCCCAGCAATACACATAACTGCTGATCAGCTACATTTTACAAGGCCCACCCTGCCGATTAGCCACAACTAGGCAGTATAACCACTAACGCTAAAGCCATTAGGCAGTCAAAGGATGTGCTATAACCAATTACCAGCAACAGAGAGGAAAACTAATTATGAATTACAAACTTAGTGACGCTTTACTGCTTCTACCCTGGTAAGGGAGCTGCATCGCTGCATTTGCAAATTACATTCATAGCGCAGCAAAATGGGCTGGGCTGATGGATTTATAGGAAGAGCACAGGCAGCCACCCTTTATAATAAACAACACTCAGGCTGGATGCAAATAGGAAGCGCCTGTGGGCATGCAAACACTGGGTAAATAGAAATGACACACAGACCTGAGGGATGATGGATTGCAGGTATATATTGACATGAATAAAAATGATAATGAACGTCATAACATAGTAATCATTTCTCTCATTTTGTATTTTTCCGAACTTCTATTTCAACCAGTTGTGCCACTCCAAGTTAGAATGAGAATTTCTCTTTTTTTTACAGTGCGACTGAGGGCCTGCAGATTTTTCTGTATAATTTAACAATGGCCTCTAACACGGGGGGTTTCATCAGAGGTTAAGCGGCCTAGCATCGTTAGATAGATAAGAAAACAGAGAGTAAGAGGAGCAGGGCAGGGGATGGGGTCTAATTTCTCATGATTAAAGTCATCCGTCACTGAAGGGATGACACGAGTCCTGGCACCCTCCCACACCGCACTACATCCATCCCCCCCACCACCACCACCACCAACTTTTTTTATGTATTTATTTCAATTTTACCCTGTGGGGAAATCCGTGACTTGAAAGAGGCAATTAATATGTGGCACGAGCTGGCCCTCCCAGTGTGGGGCCACACTGCACATTAGCTGTCTGTCTGCCACTAACAGCCCTTGGGTACTGATGAAAAGATTCACCAAGCGGAAGAGAAGGGAGGAGAGAGACAGAGACAAAGAGAGGGAGAGAAGGAGGAGGTGATGGGGGAAAAAGATGAAGGGACAAATACAAATTAGGCCAGTGGTTGTGTGGTAGAGGATGTGAGGAATGAATTGCCTAATTGGCACATTTGTTTCACTTAGGATGCGGTCATCAGTGTCAGCCCTGACAGAGGGGTTACCAGGTGGGCCCCCGGCATCAGGACTTCCTTCCTGTGATTTCATTACCCGAATTGCCCCTGAAGGTCACGTCCTCACAGCAGCCAGGTTCCCTTATCTACTTAACTACCCACACACATACACATACACAGCTTATTCTTGATGACATTTCCTGATGATTAGATGCTGAGAAATGTGGGTGTCGAGGGGCAATTAGAGGACAGAAGAGCAATGTAAACGGGTGACACTGTAGCCATCACCAAGACTTATGAGGACAGTGCTGATCAAGTCCTTGCCAGCTGAAGCATTTTTTCCCCTCTGCTCATGTGTCTCATTGCTTGGCTCTAATGGTCATTTGATGTCAAGGTGACTCAGTACAAATGGAGTGCTTCAGTGCCCTAAGGAGGAAAATCTGTCTGCTGAGTCATGCTTAGGTGTCACAATTTTACATGATCTCCTCCCGCCTGTGGGTGACTCTTACCTGCCTGACTGTGGGAAACGGAAGTTTTCCTCTGCTGAGCATCTCATCAGTGCAATTATATAGATTAAGTGTGCCACCGGGCATATCCCTGGTGATCACGTGACACCAGCAAATCAGACTCCTGGCTTCAGGGCTGATCCTCCCAATAGATCTCTCCGTCCACCAATCAGCAGGCCTTGTCATTAAAAGTATGTGTGCATCCACACATACACACAGATACACTTTGAACTCAGCATGACATGCTGTGTTCATCCGAACAGTCAGCCCGACAGCGGCAGGTTCATTCGGAGGGGAGCTATCTGCAGCTCTGTTGTGCTCTCCTGCTCTGGAGGTTAATCAAGAATGATACGTGGAGAACAGAAAGTGGGTCTGCATCGCCCATCCCCTCTCCCCTGTTGCTTCCCAAATGCCACCTCTCCTCCCCTCTGAGCTACAAGGCGCTGCATTACTATTCCACCTCGATCTGTCTTATCTTAACGAAATAAATAGAGGGAGCGCCTGGCTGCGGCCTGGGCCGGGAGGGATGTAATTGCTCGGCTTAATAATGAAGCTCATCATCTGCTCTCTAGGAGCTTTTCTCTGACCTATGAGAAAATAACAGAGGAGTCGGATGTGAAAGTAGAAACAAGTGCAACAGAGGCGGGAGGTGGGATAGAGTTAAATGCTAACTTGTTTTCGGAGCTGCATCGCAATGTCTTTGTGAAGCTCACCAGAGGAGAGCTTGTATCACGGTGCAGGAGCATATAGTTGATGCTCCTTTGTACTGTGGCCTGTCTACCTGAGCTACTGTAGATCAAGGGGATTCATCTTGGATTAAAGGCTTTCATTCAGGGAAGCTGAAATTGGCTTCCAGTTTGGCTGTTCATTTCACACTTTCTCTAAGAGTAACCTCTCAAAAGAAACTCATTATACAAGGCTCTCATGGACCTCTTTTCTCCCCAAGTTAAAAGATCTACTCTGCATTCACATCTCCTGATATCTGTGAACTACAAGTGGAGAATTGGTCTTGGATCGGGAGCCGTGAAACAAAATTGCAAATAAGTTCCTTCTATGTTCTCTAACCATAGCCAAATTAATTTCAGCTCTCTGAATATGAGATATGAAGGTATTTTGTTGCAAAAAGACCCCATAGAAAGTTACATTTTGATGCTTACATTTATTTTGTCCCACTGAATTCATAAAAAGACACCAACAAAGACTTTACTTTTGATTAAGTCTTAAATGGATGTCTGAGCATTAAAGGCTGAATCTGTTTTCTTTACAAAGAAATGATG